CCCACCCCCCACCCAGCCCCACCCTCCCCACCCAGCCCCCCCCCCCCACCCAGCCCCTCCCCACCCTCCCCACCCAGCCCTTCCCCACCCTCCCCACCCAGCCCTTCCCCACCCTCCCCACCCAGCCCCTCCCCACCTTCCCCTCTCCACCCAGCCCCACCCCTCCAATTTTTGGATGCACGACGGACGGACGGACACAATAATCCCCTGTGGGTTGGTGTAACCAGGAGGTTACTACCAGTAAAAACCATTCATAGATACACAAGGTACGGGCACAGGTTCTCAGAAAATGCGACAGACGAGGTGCTTCCTCGTCCAATCTCTGGCCACAAAAAGTGTGGAAACTTCCACTGACACAACCCACCATGTGACTTGTAGCAGGGCAACATTTTAGTAGGTATTTTGATTAATAAACAGGTTTACATATCCATCATCCTGCCAAATTCTTCGCATGTATCACAACATTTACAATTCCTAAAGTTCCTTCGCAGATGGAGACGCGCGTGTGTGCCCTCTAACAGATACTGGACTAATTTATTTGTTTTGATAATTACTTTTGTGTTATTTGTGCTTTCTTCTTTGGTGCAATTTCTTAATTTGTTTATTCATTTTTGATTCAGCTTGGTAGTCGTGGTTTTCATTTGCTCGGTATGAATGTGTGCGTGCTGTGGGGAGCGGTAGTGTAGTGGTGAGTGCGCTGCGCTATGAACCTGGCGACCCGGGTTCAATTCACACTCACGCCCAACACCAATGACGAGTATCTGAACTGGTACTGGGCCTCCCCTAGGTCGACTTAGCCTCAAATGAGTAATTGGTACGATGTGTAAACATCGCCATTAGGGAGACAAAAGCGGCCGGGCGTGGTGCTGGCCACCCACCCCCTCGTGTGCCGTGCCGGGCTTCATAGGTTCTCGCTGACAGCACTTGCCCCTACAGTCTGTTAAGGCTACACGGGGGTATTTGTCTTTGTGTTGGGCTCCTTTCGCGCTGTGCGTAGCCAACCACATATATATGATTTTGGTCCTAATATATAATTCATGTCACAGCGTTGTGGGATGCTGTTGGCATGAATGACGCTGCTATATAATAAAAGTATTAAAATTAAAGTATTATAATACGTTGTCAAGCTCAAATATCATGGCAACGTATTATTTGTCTGGACGCCACGGCGACACTGACCGGTCAGAGTGCCCTGGCACCAAGCCCACTCATGGCCAATGTCCAACGGCGTCTGTCTCTGGCTATCGACCATCTGAGCAAAGAGTTCCATTCCCGGACATGTCTAACTAACACCAATGGCGAGTCATGTCTGAACAGACCTTGCTCTCTCCCAGCCCCCCGCCCCCCTCTCTCAGCAACTCACTCTGACCAAGCGTGGTGACCAAGCGTGGTGACCAAGCGTGGTCAAACAAACCACCCGCGTACGACCAGACAGCGACGTGGGGAGGTCCTCACCTAGCCGTGTATTGACACGGAGTGCATTGAGACGTGTTCTCTTTTACTGTTGCGTATGGCAACATTTTCAGGAGCTAAATGCCAATGTCGAGGTGTGCTGCTCGCCACGACGAGAGGGGCTTCGGGAGAGAGAGAGAGAGAGCCGTACACTTTGGTTCTTTCGGTAAAGTCACGTAGGTATAAAATTAAATAGATCACGACGTTTCTGGCGCAACACAAGCGTCCGTCATCAGCTTTTCCACCTGATGACGGATGCTTGTGATGCGCGCGAAACGTCATGATCTATTTTATTTTCTACCTACGTGACTTTACAGAAAGAACCAAAGAGTATGAATTCCTGCAGTCACGAAAGCTTCAAATTTAGAGAGAGAGAGAGCCGTGTTGCTGTTCCTCCACCTCCTCCGTTGAAGGAGCGCAACGCTGCGGTGGATTAACTTTGTGGTCCACAATTTAGGATGCATGGACACAATCGCGCTGCTGTAGTTTGCGTTTTCCTTTCAATTCATGAATGAGATGGGGCGCCACAGTGCTGAGATATCTTCCTCGCAGAGTATAAAGGAGGTTGTGGTTTCTATCCTGACCCTGATGCTTGTATATTTGAAGTTTGCATGTTCTCCCCGTGGTAGTGTGGATTTTCTCCGGGTCCTCCGGTTTTCCCCTCCACATATTTAATCAACGTCACGCGTTTAGAGCATTCGGCTGCTGCAAATTTCCACATGATGAGCCACTTCGTTGAGTTAAAATTTGGGGCCAGATCGCTTCTGAAAAACAGCTACATCAGCTCAGTGGACCTTCCCTGATAAAATACCAAAAAAATAGTTTACAGTGAGCAGCGGCCTGTTGATGTTTTGCTGCGGTTGTTGGTTATATCAGTGTCTTCGAGGAGGAGGAATGTCAAAGCCAGGAGGTGTGATGATTGGGTCTCGAACGAGGTGTTTCTTCTGGACGTCCACTCTGTTCGCCGGCGTTCTTCCAGATCCAAGTGAGATTCTAGGATGGGGACAGAGCGATCCCAGAAGGGGACATTGGGGCTCGAGTCGGCGGCGAGGTGAATTGTTGATGTCTTAGCTCATGGACATCTGGTGGCGGAATGTTCGCCAGCACACGGAAGCCATGGGATTGTTCAAATCGTTGAACTGTTGACAAGTTATAGATTTGAAGTTTTTGTGACTGCAAGGATCCATACTCTTTGGTTCTTTCGGTAAAGTCACGTAGGTGAAAAAATATAATAAAATGAAAATAACTAAATTAAATCACGACGTTTCGGAGGCAACACAAGCTTCCGTCATCAGGTGAAACAGCCCCGTAAAAATTATTCACTACAGTAATTTTGCTGTGGCTGTTCCACCTGATGACGGAAGCTTGTGTTGCCTCTGAAACGTCGTGATTTAATTTAGTTATTTTCATTTTATTATTATTATTTTTCATCTACGTGACTTCACCGAAAGAACCAAAGCATGTTGAAAAGTTCTTGCAATGAAAAAAAAACATAAATTAAAGACACACAAATCACAATAGTCCCGCCCGTACCTCGTAGACCTCTCTCCACCCACACCGCACTCTTCGCCCCCCCTCCCTCCCACATCCCACCTCCTCCCCCCATAATTATTCAATTAACGGGGAGCGCGCGCACCCAAGCGCGCTCCCTGTGCGCGCGTGCGTCTCTCTCAATGCGAGAGCGGAGGCGGAGATCCCGGGCACGCGCACGACTCAGGCTCGACTGAGACTCCTCTCACTCCAGGTAACGTGCTTTTACGCGCTCACTCACTCACTATTAAATACAAATATAGCATCAGCACCACCACCACCACCACGATCATCATCAACAATCGCATCGAGAGCACACCTGCACGCGGGCTGATTCCATCGTCCCACAGCCTCTTCGTCTGCTCTCTAAGATTTCGATTTAAAGCTTTCGTGACTGCAGGGATTCATCTTCTTGGTTCTTTCGGTAAAGTCACGTAGAAGGGAAACAATAAAATAATAAAAAGAAAGCATAATAAAATAATTATGATATTATATTATTATATTTTTTTATTATGTGTTTTTTTATTTCCCTTCTACGTGACTTTACCGAAAGAACAAAGAAGATAAATCCCTGCAGTCACGAAAGCTTTAAATGAGAAATTTAAGTAGATATCTGTGGGTGTCAGTCATCTCAGTCATTCAGCCCATTGCACCTGGGTCTATCCCGTGACCTCCTGTCAGCGAGCATTCGCCACTTCACGTGGACTCAAGGTGCACCTAGCCTGGCACAAGCGCCATGGTGACTTCACCTGCAATTGAGTATGCCCGTATCAATGTGCCTGTGTGTATGTGTCCATGCATGTGTACATACGTGTCCTTGTGTAGATATCTGTGTGTATGCATACGTTCGCTTGCTAACTGTCCGTGTTGTATTATTGGTTCTTTCGGTAAAGTTACGTAGAAGGGAAATAATAAAATAATAACAATTTAAACCAATAAAATTCTCACGACGTTTCGACTGCAAGCAATCATCATCAGGTGTGAAATCCACAGCAATATATTTTTTAATTTTTTCAAATTTTCTTGCTGTGGATTTCACATCTGATGATGGTTGTTTGTATTGCAGTCGAAATGTCGTGAGAATTTTATTGCTTTATATTTTTTTTAATTTTTTTTTATTTCCCTTCTACGTGACTTTACCGAAAGAGCCAAGAATATGAATCCCTGCAGTCACGAGCTTTAAATCAAAATTTGTCTGTGTTGTGTTTCTGCACGTGTGTGTATACGTGTGTATTGTATTTAGGTGCATTTATAGATGTATGCGTGTGTATATATACTCACTATATTCAGTCTGTTCTCCTATAGCGCGTGTTTTCATTGGATATAACGCGACGAAAGTATTAGGGAACACATTTATTTTTTTATAACTCGGATGCAAATTGGATATAACGCGATTGAGTGAACAGAAACTACGTCGCGCGAGTAGGAATAACCAGGGGCATACGCATCTCACGCGTTATCGCGAACTGTGCTTGACCCCTGTGTTATAGATTATTCATTATAACGCGATCTTCCCATAACGCGGTGTTCTTCAGCAACACAACTACCGCAGCGTTCTAGGAGAATAGACTGTATGTGGTTTTTTTCTTGGTTCTTTCGGTAAAGTCACGTAGAAGGGAAGTAATAAAATAATAAAATAAAACATAATAAAACAATTCTCACGATGTTTCGGCCACAACGCAAGCAGCCGTTGTGGCCGAAACGTCGTGGATTATTGCAGCCAGTGCAGAGGACGTCAACCCACTCCTGGACCTCAAGGTGGAGCGAGTTATATGGAGCACGCTTTACCACGCTGGCCAGCACGGGTTCAAGGCGAGGAGCGTAGACAGTACAGTCCAATATATTTTTTCTTGACGGCACTCTGCTGCCAATAGCGGAGTACAGCCTGCCTTCCACACTGGAGAGAAATCCACGCGACCGCGGGGAGAGTGAACATGCAAACTGCAAATATACAGCTGGCGTCAGGGTCGGTGACAGCGGACACCCAGGTCGTTCACACAGCGCTGCATTTCACGTGTTTTTTTCGTTCAGGATATTCAAATGCAAGAATAGTGGTCATCTTTATCTTTCTACAATGCCACCTGCTGCTGGGTTAAGGCAGCCAATGACAATACTTGTCCGTAAAGGTAAATGTCCATCTCATTGTCAATCCACTGCTGGATGAATTCGCCCCCCCCCCCCCCCACTCTGTGCAGGTCGTGGAGATTCCAAAGAACACAGGATGAGATGTTACTATCCTTTGTGCAAGCACTTCCAAGAGTTCATGAACAATGAGCCTGGTGAAATTTGGGGAGCGCATCGTCAGTAGTGAACCTTTGGTTCCTAGGGTGTTTCGGCCTTTCATACTATACACCCTCCCCAAAGGCGGCCAGCGACAGGGTGATCAATCCTACGCTTGCGTCCCATTCCCAATTAGTCATAGGAGTTGACTTGTTGTTGATAGCCAACATCCCATGGGACTATGCATGGCAGGGGTGTCCTCCTCCCTGAGTCAAGCATTGTTGACTGCATATCTCCCGGCCCTCTCACTTTGGGGCCCAGCTGGGGTCTTTCTTCTTCATCCAGAGCCACTGACTGCTGCCTTCTGCCGCCTCCGATACAGCTCTGATTGCCGAACGCTGGCTCTGGCCCTTAATTCCCAGGTCTCTGACCAAACGTCACCACGATGCTCAGTGCGAGGTGGCGGAGTGGTGTGTGTGTGGGGGGGGCATAGACGCGGGTAAGTACAGCACAACAATGGATTTTGCTGCACCACACTCTGCTGCCCTACCGCAACAAACGGTTCGTGCGTGACGGTCGTCCATATCCGAGCACTAAGCCAGGCACTCGCCAACCTAAACACGAGGTCTAATGAGATCGGGCACGGTGCGGACGGCAAAATCGCGGGGGACGCGTGCATCCATGCGTGAAGTACAACACTGGGTTTATGGAGTCAAAACATTTATGGAGTCGGGTTTGTTTCACCGGATGGATTATAGGATGGATCACTCCCGCGGCTGTGTTTCTAACACTCTTTCAAATTGGCAGGGTCCTGCCCTGCAGAGTTCCGCTCCTGTGCCCTCCGGAGTGTCTGGACTTACTCCGGCTTGACGCTACGTAGAGCGTGTGTTCTCCAACACTTCTCTGTGTGAGAAGTTACTCAATATTAGTAGTACCACCCCCCGTCGTTTAATCTGGCCGTATTAACAATTGCCATGTGGATTTACAAGGCAACGAAATGTGACTGCATGTCAAGACACCGTCATTTTGCTTTGGCAGTCGGTCCAAAGGCAGTGGGAAAACAGGAAGGTGTTGAGCCTGGCAGGGGGTGGACAGCACGGGCTGCTGGGGGAAGAGAAGCGAAGACCGTGGGAGCTGCAGAGGAGAATGACGTCCCACTAAGCGAAGGTTGACTGGGGACTTCGATACGAAGCCTCGGTTGCAGCAGCAGCAGAGTGCGTGGCGGGGGAAGTAGAGTGAAATGAGACGGGAGACATAGGAGAGTGTGAGGAGGAGAGTAGAGTGAGTTGAGTGGGAACATACAGGAGAGTGTGTGGAGGAGAGTAGAGTGAGTTGAGAAGGAACATGCAGGAGAGTCTGTGGAGTGAGTTGAGAGGCAAGATGCAGCAGATTGCGTGATTAACATTCACTTTTGAACGACCCCTTTTCCCCCTCTGCATCCTGTTCATAACATCGACTTTGAGGTGCCAGGGGCAGACGCGCTCACAGCGATGGAGCTGCCCGCGTACCTCATGGCTCTGGCCGGGTGGCTGCTGGCCTGCAGCACGGTTCATCATGAGCAGTGGCGCGTCTCGTCCATCGACGGCACCGTCATCACCACCTCGACCCTCTACGCCAATCTGTGGAAGGAGTGCGCCACCGACTCAACGGGTGTCGCCAACTGCCGAGATTTTCCGTCCCTGCTGGCGCTCAATGGTACGATCCTGGGAGGGGTTGGGGGGGTCCTATTGGTCACTCACAGTACGCATACTCGGGCAGTGATGGACTTGGACAAAAAAAAATTGGCACAGGTATTTGTAACCACACCGGTCCGAATTTGGAGAGATTTTTTTTGTAAATAGGTTGTGCGACTAACTGTGTACTAGTAGCCAGGTTTGTGATGTAAATCGAGCCACTAGTAAACGTGTCACGCACTTCTTGCCGTGCAATCTCATTGGGTCCATTTCGGGCCGGTTCCAAGAAACAAATGAGGCCGGTGAGGAAGAATATTTTTGGGGCTGCCGAATATTTGGGGACTTGATGCCAACTGAGAATGTAAATAAGCAATGAAGCGTACACATTAGAGGTACTAAACTATTTTAATTAAAATATTTTGTATTTTAAAAAAATACTTCATTGGAACCTCATTGCAGTGCGCCTTTTGGCGTCATCTGGTCCAACACCATGCGAGACGAGGCTCTAAGGAAAGCTGTCTCGGGTGTGGACCAATCAACTTCAAGGACAGTGCATACATTATCAGAGTTTTGTTTTTTGTTTGCATTATGACTGCAGGTATTGTGGTCTATGCAAACATGACTCCTTGTAAAAAAAGGGTGTCAGTTTTGTTGCCAGATAGAAGGGTAAAAAAACTATTATCAAAAAAATACTTGATCACATTTGCAATTTTCCCACACAGAGCGGCCCCCACCGGGCCCTCGGAATGGTCTGGCCCCCCGAGCAATTGCCCCATGGACTGCTGCCCTGTGGGCAGTCCGGGGCCTCTACCTAGGCACGCTCGCCACTCGTTATTCGGTCAATGGAAATTTGTATCACGATTATTCTTATCATCATTGTGCATGTTTTCCCAGGAAAGGCTCACTGAGTCTCGGGACTCATTTGCAGGAGGGTCTGTCTGGTCAAGAGTTGGCAGGAGGGGGGGGTTGGCTATGTTGCTATGTGTGTGTAATTCCAACTGAGTGATGTAAACTGAATCGTTGAGCATTTTGAGACTCTGAGGTTTGGCGACGACTTGGGGAGGCCTTCATCCAGCAGTGGATAGAGTCGGGCTGAAACTGACGATGGAATGATTATGAACGCAAATATTACGGAAAGTAATTAATTCCATATCAAATAATCACGCAAGCAACCTGCATATACAAACTACCAGCAATCAGAGAAAAATGTCAACTTCATCGACATTTTTGACATCTAAGCCAACATCAAAACGAAGACTGGTTGCGTGACGAAATAACTTGCGTTCCGTCGTAAAAAATGTGGAATTGCCACCGCTGACCAACGGGTGAAAACGTTTTCCGCATTCGAGCAGGGAGACACTGGGGGTTTCAAAAGAAGAACATTTTAAACTGAAGACTCTGTGCTACCATGCCGGGCTGCGTGGCCTAATGGATACGGCATCTGACTTTGAATCTCAAGCGTTGCTAGTTCAAATCCAGTCGTGGTCGAATATTTCGTAGCTTTTGCAATGAATTACTGTAGCATACGAATTAGATTGCCATGAAGTTAATCTTTTTCCATGATGAAAGGAAATTGGTGAGGGGCTCGGTCAGGGATAGATTCAGTTGAGGGATTATGTTTTATGTTAGGCAATAGCTTGAGCTCAGTCATAGGGTGTGGTTAAAGATAAGTTCATATTAGTTGGGGTTAGGGTTAGGTTCGGCGTTAGGCAGGGCGTTGTGTTGGGGTTGGAGAAAGGGGTGAGTAATGGGTTTAAGGGTAAAGTGAGAAGTTAGAGGTTTATCAAGATGTACGGATCAGAGTTAAGTAAGAGTTCAGTGTGAGATGATGGTCAAGGAAGTGAATATGAAAAGGTTTCAACAACTGTTTCAATATGCTGTGCACTCGTAAAACAAGCCTCTGGAGACGCATGATACAGCTCTTTAGCTGCCCCCTTGCGGGCGGCAGTAAAAGAAGAATTAAAACTTAAACAATTTAACTTTAAAATAATGTATTAAATCTGGCAGGGAATGGGTGACTATGGAATGTCTTGGGGACGACAAAATGTAGATTCAAACTGAATTGTTAAAGAATAACTAAGGGGGTGGGTGGGGCGACTAAATAGACACAATTTATTCCATCTCCTATTGTGTTTATTTAAGTTAGAATGTGTCATCTGCAGGAAACGTGCTGTGTTTGTGTACAAGTAGGTCTACGTATTTTAGTAAAAGACAGGAATAACAAAAAAATGTCTCTGTCTTCTTTGAAAGGTTGCCGACCCCTGGCTCTGACTCACACTTCGAGATTTAGTCGCTGAACCTTGCTATCCTTGCTCACAAGAACACTGTAGAAGTGATGTCATCATTAGGTGCCCTAAACCAGCTGGCAAAATTACAGATACATTGATATTGTTGTTTGTTAAGAATTAGATTTTTATTAAAATAGGCAAAATAGAGGAGTGTGAGAAACGATTTCTTATCTTTGTATTAATTGCGTTGGAAGAAAACACAGAAACAGTAAAAAAAACGCTTCAGCTTTTATTCAACCACAGGAGGAATTGAAACTGCTGTCTTTTTATCCGAAGTCAGACGTCTTATCCATAAGGTCAGGCGGCCAATTCCCTGAGCAAACGGCCTTCTAAGCTATATTTTTATGTGAACCGTCAACTAATCTCCACCAGGGGTTTTGTGATGGCCTTTATCAGGTCTGTGGAAATTCCACCACTGACAAAGGCTCAAAACGGTTTCCTCATCCTAGCAGGGATACACTGTGGTTTTAAAAGAAGAACTACAGACTCTCAAGACTCTTCACAGGAGGGTGCTCCTCTACCATGCAGGGCCGCGTGGCCTAATGGATAAGGCGTCTGACTTCGGATCAGAAGATTGCATGTTCGAATCCTGCCGTGGTCGAATATTTAGTTTTTATTACAGGAATTACTGTCACATTGAATTTTCACGAAGTTCGTATTTTTAAATCCTTGCTTGCTTGCGCGCTTACGACCGGGAAAATCTTTCGGTCGTTTTTTAACCCACTTCCCGTGATCCAATCGGGCTGACATTTTGCACACAGACTCGTTGTGCATGACAATTTATTTTCGTGAATTTTTTTTCCATAACTTTACACTTTTTAGGAATTTTTTAAAAATATTTAATTACCAATTGCTTAATGATGGCAGGCAATCATCTGACCCATAGGTGGCAGCCATTTCAATTCAGAGGACGAGAGGACTCTAGCCGCCACGCATATAAAGGGTTTATAGTGAAAAACTTTGTTTTTACGGGTTAATTTTTTGCATATTGTTCGGCAAGGGCTGAGGGGTCAGGCAGGGATAGATTCAGTTGAGGGATTATGGTTTGGTGAGGAAAAAGAGAGGAGTGTGAGAAACGATTTCTTATCTTTGTATTAATTGCGTTGGAAGAAAACACAGAAACTGTAAAAAAGATGCTTCAACTTCCATCCAACCATAGGAGAATTATAAAACTGCAGTCGTCTGATCTGAAGTCAGACACCTTAACAATTTGGCCACGTGGCCAATGCCATTTGACAAACGGCCTTCAAAGTTATATTTTTATGTCAGCCTTCAACTAAACTCCACCAGGGGTTTTGTGATGGCCTTTATCAGGTTGCGGAATGAAATAAGTGCGCCGCCGCTACGGGTATGTGGAAATTGCACCACTGACTGAAGGCTCAAAATGGTTTCCTCATACGAGCAGGGATACACTGTGGTTTTAAAAGAAGAACAACAGACTCTCAAGACTCTTCACAGGAGGGTGCTCCCCTACCGTGCAGGGCCGCGTGGCCTAATGGATAAGGCGTCTGACTTCGGATCAGAAGATTGCAGGTTCGAATCCTGCCGTGGTCGAGTATTTATTTTTACGTTACAGGAATTACTGTCACATTGATTTTTCACTAAGTTCATATTTTTGCATATTGTTTGGCAAGGGGTGAGGGGTCAGTCAGGGATAGCTTCAAATGAGGGATTATGGATTGGTGAGGCAAGAGGTTGAGCTGAGTAATACGGTGCAGTTAAGGGTAACGTCATATTATGTGGGGTCAGAGTTAGGTTAGAGGTTAGGAGTTTGACGGAAGATTGTGTTCGGGTTAGGGTGAGCTAAGTAATGTGTTTTAGGATAAAGTGAGGGGTTCGAGGTTTAGCAAGATGTACAGATCAGAGTTAGCTAAGAGTTTAGTGTGAGAAGATTGCAAGTAGGTAAATATGGAGATGTTATAATACATTTTTCAACATGATGTGCATTAATATAACAAACCTCTATAACAGCTTCGAGTCACACTTCAAGAATTAGTCGCTGAACCTTGCTCTCCTTGCTCAAAAGAACAATGTACAAATGATATCATTATTAGTGCGCTAAACCAGCTGGCATAATTGTAGATACATTGAAATGGTTGTTTGCTAAGAATTATATTGTATTAAAATAGGCAAAAGAGAGGAGTGTGAGAAACGATCTGGATCTTTGTATTAATACTGGTAGGAACAACAGTTCCACACTGTCCACCAGGGATTATTTGTCTGTCTGTCGTGCATGGCCCTGCTCTACCAGAGCCCTCCCATTGGTTCGGGGGTGCCGACCAATGGGAGCGGTGGGTTGGGGTTGGTAGAGGGGGGGGGTTAGTGGTGGGGGGGGGGGGGCACCGCCGCGACTCGGGCCAATGAGGAGACGGGCGATGTTTCAATCACAAAATGGAACTGGGGGAGGGTGGCTCCATTCAGAAAATGGAAACCTTGAAAAGAATTGAGCGGATCTTTTTGCCTCGTGTTTCTTTCAACATTCCCACCCGTAAGATGATTTAGTTGGGGATGAGTGGAGGGCCACGTGGCCTAATGGATAAGGCGTCTGACTTCGGATCAGAAGTGTTGCAGGTTCGAATCCTGCCGTGGTCGAATATATATTTTTACATTACAGGAATTACTGTCACATTGAAATTTCACGAAGTTCATATTTTGAATATTGTTAGGTAAGGGGTGAGGGTCGGTCAGGGATAGCTTCAGTTGAGGGATTATGGATTGGTGAGGCAATAGGTTGAGCTGAGTAATACGGTGCAGTTAAGGGTAAGGTCATATTATGTGGGGTCGGAGTTAGGTTAGAGGTTAGGAGTTCGACAGGAGGTTGTGTTCGGGTTAGTGTGAGCTAAGTAATGTGTTTTAGGATAAAGTGAGGGGTTCGAGGTTTAGCAAGATGTACGGATCAGAGTTAGCTAAGAGTTTAGTGTGAGATGATTGCAAGTAGGTAAATATGGAGATGTTATAATACCTTTTTCAACATGATGTGCATTAATAAAACAAACCTCTGTAACAGCTTCGACTCACCCTTCAAGATTTAATCGCTGAACCTTGATATCCTTGCTCAAAAGAACAAAAGAGAAGTGATATCATCATTGGGTGCCCTAAACCAGCTGGCATAATTGTAGATACATTGAAATGGTTGTTTGTTAAGAATTAGATTCTATTAAAATAGGCAAAAGAGAAGAGTGTGAGATACGATGTCTTATCTTTGTAATAATTGCATTGGAAGAAAACACAGAAACAGTAAAAAATACGATACAGAAACTGCTGTGGTTTTATCCGAAGGCCTTATCCATTAGGCCACGCGGCCAAAGCCATCTGCAAAAGGGCTTCTAAGTTATATTTTTACGTGAACCGTCAACTAAACACCACCAAAGGTTTTGTGATGGCCTTTATCAGGGTGCCCAATTAAATAAGTGCGCCCGCGCTTTGGGTACGTGGAAATTCCACAACTGACTGAAGGCTCAAAATGGTTTCCTCATACGAGCAGTGATACACTGTGGTTTCAAAAGAAGAACAACATACTCTCAAGACTCTTCACAGGTGGGTGCTCCTCTACCATGCAGGGCCGCGTGGCCTAATGGATAAGGCGTCTGACTTCGGATCAGAAGATTGCAGGTTCGAATCCTGCCGTGGTCGAATATTTAATTTTTACATTACGGGAATTACTCACATTGAATTTTCACTTAGTTTGGCGACGACTTGGGGAGGCCTTCATCCAGCAGTGGATAGAGTCGGGCTGAAACTGACGATGGAATGATTATGAACGCAAATATTACGGAAAGTAATTAATTCCATATCAAATAATCACGCAAGCAACCTGCATATACAAACTACCAGCAATCAGAGAAAAATGTCAACTTCATCGACATTTTTGACATCTAAGCCAACATCAAAACGAAGACTGGTTGCGTGACGAAATAACTTGCGTTCCGTCGTAAAAAATGTGGAATTGCCACCGCTGACCAACGGGTGAAAACGTTTTCCGCATTCGAGCAGGGAGACACTGGGGGTTTCAAAAGAAGAACATTTTAAACTGAAGACTCTGTGCTACCATGCCGGGCTGCGTGGCCTAATGGATACGGCATCTGACTTTGAATCTCAAGCGTTGCTAGTTCAAATCCAGTCGTGGTCGAATATTTCGTAGCTTTTGCAATGAATTACTGTAGCATACGAATTAGATTGCCATGAAGTTAATCTTTTTCCATGATGAAAGGAAATTGGTGAGGGGCTCGGTCAGGGATAGATTCAGTTGAGGGATTATGTTTTATGTTAGGCAATAGCTTGAGCTCAGTCATAGGGTGTGGTTAAAGATAAGTTCATATTAGTTGGGGTTAGGGTTAGGTTCGGCGTTAGGCAGGGCGTTGTGTTGGGGTTGGAGAAAGGGGTGAGTAATGGGTTTAAGGGTAAAGTGAGAAGTTAGAGGTTTATCAAGATGTACGGATCAGAGTTAAGTAAGAGTTCAGTGTGAGATGATGGTCAAGGAAGTGAATATGAAAAGGTTTCAACAACTGTTTCAATATGCTGTGCACTCGTAAAACAAGCCTCTGGAGACGCATGATACAGCTCTTTAGCTGCCCCCTTGCGGGCGGCAGTAAAAGAAGAATTAAAACTTAAACAATTTAACTTTAAAATAATGTATTAAATCTGGCAGGGAATGGGTGACTATGGAATGTCTTGGGGACGACAAAATGTAGATTCAAACTGAATTGTTAAAGAATAACTAAGGGGGTGGGTGGGGCGACTAAATAGACACAATTTATTCCATCTCCTATTGTGTTTATTTAAGTTAGAATGTGTCATCTGCAGGAAACGTGCTGTGTTTGTGTACAAGTAGGTCTACGTATTTTAGTAAAAGACAGGAATAACAAAAAAATGTCTCTGTCTTCTTTGAAAGGTTGCCGACCCCTGGCTCTGACTCACACTTCGAGATTTAGTCGCTGAACCTTGCTATCCTTGCTCACAAGAACACTGTAGAAGTGATGTCATCATTAGGTGCCCTAAACCAGCTGGCAAAATTACAGATACATTGATATTGTTGTTTGTTAAGAATTAGATTTTTATTAAAATAGGCAAAATAGAGGAGTGTGAGAAACGATTTCTTATCTTTGTATTAATTGCGTTGGAAGAAAACACAGAAACAGTAAAAAAAACGCTTCAGCTTTTATTCAACCACAGGAGGAATTGAAACTGCTGTCTTTTTATCCGAAGTCAGACGTCTTATCCATAAGGTCAGGCGGCCAATTCCCTGAGCAAACGGCCTTCTAAGCTATATTTTTATGTGAACCGTCAACTAATCTCCACCAGGGGTTTTGTGATGGCCTTTATCAGGTCTGTGGAAATTCCACCACTGACAAAGGCTCAAAACGGTTTCCTCATCCTAGCAGGGATACACTGTGGTTTTAAAAGAAGAACTACAGACTCTCAAGACTCTTCACAGGAGGGTGCTCCTCTACCATGCAGGGCCGCGTGGCCTAATGGATAAGGCGTCTGACTTCGGATCAGAAGATTGCATGTTCGAATCCTGCCGTGGTCGAATATTTAGTTTTTATTACAGGAATTACTGTCACATTGAATTTTCACGAAGTTCGTATTTTTAAATCCTTGCTTGCTTGCGCGCTTACGACCGGGAAAATCTTTCGGTCGTTTTTTAACCCACTTCCCGTGATCCAATCGGGCTGACATTTTGCACACAGACTCGTTGTGCATGACAATTTATTTTCGTGAATTTTTTTTCCATAACTTTACACTTTTTAGGAATTTTTTAAAAATATTTAATTACCAATTGCTTAATGATGGCAGGCAATCATCTGACCCATAGGTGGCAGCCATTTCAATTCAGAGGACGAGAGGACTCTAGCCGCCACGCATATAAAGGGTTTATAGTGAAAAACTTTGTTTTTACGGGTTAATTTTTTGCATATTGTTCGGCAAGGGCTGAGGGGTCAGGCAGGGATAGATTCAGTTGAGGGATTATGGTTTGGTGAGGAAAAAGAGAGGAGTGTGAGAAACGATTTCTTATCTTTGTATTAATTGCGTTGGAAGAAAACACAGAAACTGTAAAAAAGATGCTTCAACTTCCATCCAACCATAGGAGAATTATAAAACTGCAGTCGTCTGATCTGAAGTCAGACACCTTAACAATTTGGCCACGTGGCCAATGCCATTTGACAAACGGCCTTCAAAGTTATATTTTTATGTCAGCCTTCAACTAAACTCCACCAGGGGTTTTGTGATGGCCTTTATCAGGTTGCGGAATGAAATAAGTGCGCCGCCGCTACGGGTATGTGGAAATTGCACCACTGACTGAAGGCTCAAAATGGTTTCCTCATACGAGCAGGGATACACTGTGGTTTTAAAAGAAGAACAACAGACTCTCAAGACTCTTCACAGGAGGGTGCTCCCCTACCGTGCAGGGCCGCGTGGCCTAATGGATAAGGCGTCTGACTTCGGATCAGAAGATTGCAGGTTCGAATCCTGCCGTGGTCGAGTATTTATTTTTACGTTACAGGAATTACTGTCACATTGATTTTTCACTAAGTTCATATTTTTGCATATTGTTTGGCAAGGGGTGAGGGGTCAGTCAGGGATAGCTTCAAATGAGGGATTATGGATTGGTGAGGCAAGAGGTTGAGCTGAGTAATACGGTGCAGTTAAGGGTAACGTCATATTATGTGGGGTCAGAGTTAGGTTAGAGGTTAGGAGTTTGACGGAAGATTGTGTTCGGGTTAGGGTGAGCTAAGTAATGTGTTTTAGGATAAAGTGAGGGGTTCGAGGTTTAGCAAGATGTACAGATCAGAGTTAGCTAAGAGTTTAGTGTGAGAAGATTGCAAGTAGGTAAATATGGAGATGTTATAATACATTTTTCAACATGATGTGCATTAATATAACAAACCTCTATAACAGCTTCGAGTCACACTTCAAGAATTAGTCGCTGAACCTTGCTCTCCTTGCTCAAAAGAACAATGTACAAATGATATCATTATTAGTGCGCTAAACCAGCTGGCATAATTGTAGATACATTGAAATGGTTGTTTGCTAAGAATTATATTGTATTAAAATAGGCAAAAGAGAGGAGTGTGAGAAACGATCTGGATCTTTGTATTAATACTGGTAGGAACAACAGTTCCACACTGTCCACCAGGGATTATTTGTCTGTCTGTCGTGCATGGCCCTGCTCTACCAGAGCCCTCCCATTGGTTCGGGGGTGCCGACCAATGGGAGCGGTGGGTTGGGGTTGGTAGAGGGGGGGGGTTAGTGGTGGGGGGGGGGGGCACCGCCGCGACTCGGGCCAATGAGGAGACGGGCGATGTTTCAATCACAAAATGGAACTGGGGGAGGGTGGCTCCATTCAGAAAATGGAAACCTTGAAAAGAATTGAGCGGATCTTTTTGCCTCGTGTTTCTTTCAACATTCCCACCCGTAAGATGATTTAGTTGGGGATGAGTGGAGGGCCACGTGGCCTAATGGATAAGGCGTCTGACTTCGGATCAGAAGTGTTGCAGGTTCGAATCCTGCCGTGGTCGAATATATATTTTTACATTACAGGAATTACTGTCACATTGAAATTTCACGAAGTTCATATTTTGAATATTGTT